TGTTATTCACCAGTCTGAGGATAGCAGATTTCTCATCTTACCATTTTCAAAGTAAATATTTATTTATATTGAGGCAGCTTAAATTTTAATCAAATCCTATTCAAAAGAACTTTCTATTACAGGAATGAAAAGAGATGTGGGTTTGGGAGTAGAGAAACAAGTTCATTCAAAAAAAGCTAGTTTTGAAATTAAATCCTTTATCCCCGTTACAAAAATATACAAATTCTATATATTTACTATATATATATATATATATTTATAATATTATATAATAATATATATAATATTATATATATATATATACAATATATATATTTATTAAGGTAGGCTTAAACACTTTCCTTTTTGATAAAGCTTTATAGTTAGTGTGGGCTCAGGTTATCCTGAGCTATCTCTTAAAGTTATCGCTGCTATAACGGCGCTTAAGAACTTTTGGAAGGAACATAGGGACCCCCATTTCATCATTCTGCTTCATTCTCTCTCTGTTCTCCTACTATGCAGACATCTGTTAGTTCAATCTCTATCCTTCCTGCTCTCTGCATTTTCCTCAGTGCTAGCTTTGTGACCTCGTCTGTTCCTGTATGGCTGTGACATCGTCATCTGGAAAGAAACTTCAGCTGTGTGCTTCTATCAACACCCTTGTTTATAGATGTGGAGATGGCACTGTTTTCTCAAGTTGGTCTAGTTTCTCATGACGCAGTGACTGGTGGAGATGTGCTCTCTTCTGTTCATCTGGAATGGGAGTTGGCTAGGAGCCTGTTCTGCCTGGCGTGCTGTTTCCTGGACGAATAGGCCGCATTTTACAAGTCGCTTTTTGTATCAAACTGCTTCTAACCGTCTCTTGATAACTCACACCAGTCAGGCTCCTCGGCAGATGGCCCGGCCGCTCACCTGAGCCTGGTTCTGCTGGACGGATTTTTCTTCCTTGTTAAAAAGGTAGTTTTTCCTCATCCCACTGTCGCTTACAAGCATGCTTAGTGTGGGGGGATTGTATTTGAGTCAATGAGTCATGCAGAATCAACTGGTTTTCCTTAGATAGAAAAAACTTTGTATCAATTTGATGGTACTTGAATCTTGGTTGAACTGTTATAAAGTGCCTTGAGATGTACAATGTGTTGTGAATTGGCGCTATATAAATAAACTGAATTGAAATAAATATATATATTTTTATATATATATTATATATATATAGTATATATATTATATAAATTATATTATAAGATTATATATATAATATATTTGGGAGATGAACATATGCTGGATGTAGTGGGACCTTTTTTTTTAATATGTCATATATAATTAAGCGTTCAGGTTCATACAGGAGATATGAGTACTCTAATTTCATGCTATTTCTAATGCTATTAGACATTATCTTTAAAATGCCATCAACAAGAACCATGTACACAAGTTATTAGATGTACACTGAAATATTGAAGAGCTATTGTAAGCACAGATCCATGACTCGTGTATGGTTGGTAAAACACACACACAACATAGCTACGTAATATATCATTCCTCTAGCTTTTTTCTCGCCTGGTAGCGATATAACTTTATACTGACCATTGTTTTTATATAAGTCTATTTTTTATTAAAGTATTCTAAATACTTCCGAATAAACATATTTTAAATAATTTTCAGTGCACATTAAGGCCTTGATTAAAAATAAAAATTAATGAATTTTTTTAATTCTTTTTTTTTGATACGCACGGAAACCTGGTTCATCTCGCAGGAAGTATGCATCCTTCTACGATCTCCACGAAATAGCTCAGACTGCTAGGCAGCCGGTGTTAGTAGCCTCACGTCTTCTGAGGATGTAACGCGACTTTGCTTTTTTGCAGGGCAGGTCACCTGGACGCGGAGTAATGGAGGGAATTTCGGGGAAATAAACTCCTCTTGGACTCGTCTCAACCCTTGCTACGATGGCGAATCCTATGCATATTCTCCGACATGACGAACTAAAAGAAGAGAAGTAGCGGTAAAATTATATGTTACTGATTTACGCCCTGCCTAAGCTATAGCAGCCTAGCCTACAGCTCATGGATTATAGCAGCTGAGCCTTTAAAGCTACTGGCTAATACGCAGCTAGACTAAAAGCTACAGATATTTAACAAGCCCTACTCACCATAAGCTATAGACTCACGGCTAATAGTAGCCTTGCAGAAGAATACAAGGCTTCATATTTAAGTGTTTTTTCTTGTGATCACAAGGATGCAGTTACCGCCGTTTTCACAACTCGGAGACTAATTGCAGGTGCTAATGACGGACGCAAGCGGTAAGATATTAAAGGAATTATCCGCTTTTCATTTCGCAGTTAAGGGACAATTGGTATACGGATAGAATATCGATCAATAGGCAGTACATTTTGTTTTTCAACTGGACACGTTCCCTATTTGAGTCGGCAGCAGCTACATAATACAGCATAGTCCAGATTTTGCACGATGTTGTTAATAGTCGAGCATTGGTGTAAGTGTACTTTGTTTTAATGGCTTTTTCTCCTTCAATTGTTACTGTGTGATTGCGTCTTGAGTTTTTTATCACTACACTCTAATTTACATTGTTTTACAGCTGACTGTAAAGATGTATTATTCAGTACGTGTACGCAGGAGCTTCAGAGACATATTCCGCTCAGCCAGCCTACAACTCGTTGTATGGCGGAGAGCTGCCACAGCAAGATCTGCTTGGAGTCGGGCTAGAAGAAGAGGTAGGACTTTTATTTCGGTTGACTTTTTATTCAGGTGCATTAGTATAGATAGTGTTGAGTTCATACGACAGTGCGATTATTCATTGTTTTTTTTTTTCAGCTGCTTGTAAGACAAGGCAGAGTGTGTAGCTAGATGAGGAAGTGGATCTGGAAGTCTCCGCCACCGTCAGACACTCATGATCCAGACGATGAAATGATAGGCAGTATTCTGTCAGGCGCGGTGTCTCTTAGTGGAATTGTAACTGGTCGCTCGCCACTTCTGTAGGAATCGGATACCTCACTGAACTCTGTGTTAAGACTCACGTCACCGGTTAGAAGCGCGAATGTCGATAGTACAGGGGCGGACACGCATTGTAGGGTCTGCATATCAGACCTGACCTTGGGAGGGAATGCTATGCCAGTAGGTACCACTCCCAACCTCGAGAAGCAAACGTGGACCGTTCACGGAGTTGTAATTTTTAGTCTACGATGTGTTTGGATACGCGTTGTATATAGTTGTGGTGTGTTTTAATAAAGCTCTTTCTTTGCATAAACAGCTTCCTCGGCAAATGTTCATTTCCTGTATAAATTCATTCATGTCCTTGATGGTAGCCTAGTAATTGTGTAGTAGTGTAGGATAACATAAATACAGAGCATATGAATGAATAAATATATGAATGAATAAATATATGAATGAATAAATATATGAATTAATATATATATATATATATATATATATATATATATATATATATATATATATATATATATATGTAAATTTATATGTAAATATATATATATGCCAACCAATCACGAGCGACTTTACTTGTTTAAAAAGAAGTGGTTCCGTCCAATACTCAGTAAGAAAATTAAAGCCTGGCGTGGCCACGTGTGGTTTTGCTGCCAATCACGAGCGATTTCATTTGTTTGAGAATAGTGGTTTCAGCCAATACTGAGAAGGTTATTCAAGCCAGACCTGGCCAGCCGCGCGGGTTTGCTGCATTCATATGCTAATTAGGGCCATTAGTACAGCTGATCGCTCTCCAAATACGTCAGAGTCCGTTTCCGACAATTTGTGGCACGACAAACGCGGACAAGCGCGGGTTGCAAATTGTCGGAAACTGACGAAAATCAGGGAGATCTGCGGGAGTTTACGGGGACGAAAATCTCACTTTTCATGCAGTGACCATTCATGCACACACCTAAGGAGGATTTTGAGAAGCTAGTTAACCTATCAGTCAAGTTTTTGAACAGTGGGAGGAAGCTGGAGTACCCAGAGAGAACCCACACATGCTCAGGGAGAACATGCTAACTCCATACAGAAAGACCCCGGGAATCAAACCCGGAACCTTCTTGCTGCAAGGCAGCAATGCTGCTATGAGTAGCCCTCATTTAATCAATCTGTAAATAAAACACTCCAATGTGCCACAGAACTGGAAGATGGCCACCGTGACTCAAATTTTTCCGTGTGTTGATGAAACTAAAATAATGAATTATAGAACAATTAGTACCTACCAGAGTTTTCAAAGGTGATAAAAAAATGTGTTGAAAAGGAGTTCATTATACATCTTAAGGTGGTGTGACTCCTCCTTTGCACCCCATGCATTTTGGGTTTGGTTCCCACCATTCTACAGAAATAGCAGTAAGATTGTTTATAGCAAAAAAAAAAAAATAGGTTGGATAGAATTGATTTAGGAAATTAATTGACATCATCCTAATCATCAACCAAAGGTCCTACATCTGAACTGTTAGATAATTTAAATGTCTGTGATTCTAAAAAAAATGCACAAACATAAAAAACCTCTTCTTTATTTCTGACTAAACCACCTTTACACCTTTGAAACTCATCGAAACAATCAACATGTTTCTTTTTTTAAACTGCTCAGGTCATTTAATTCACTTTGTCTGGAAGGGAAAACATGCTCTATTGTTCTAATATGAATCTTAATATTTTCAATTTAAGGACTTAAGTTGTTTATTTATCAAAAAAACATTTTTTATTTCAAAATGTAGAAAATAAGTACCTAAAATATGACTTTGTAAACACAAGTAGTAGTCATTTCTTGCCAGAATCTTCCTCATTTATAACCCTTTGTCAAGATCTTGGCACTGATGACTGGCTTAACTACTCATTTCAGTCACCTGCCTAGCTCCACCTAGTTTCTCAATACTGCTCATACTCCAATACTACATCTATTTAAACGGACTGCTACCAGTCATCAGGGCCAGATTATTCTCGAGTCAGAGCCAGTGAGATTATTCACGAGGCAGTGTGATCAGGCGAGATTATCTCACTAGCTGTTGGGATCTGGAGGTTTGTCCACTTTCTCCACCAGAGGGCGCACAAGATCTCCTGGAGCATGAGCCGACCACACCACCTGCCTCTCATCTGCTCATCAGGAGATCCATACTTAAGGAGGCGGAGGGCTTCACTCCAGTGCCAGAGTGTTTGCCAGTAACGGTTAGCAAGCCTGAGCCAACCTGCCTGTCTGTGGTCTCTGACTTTTGTGAACCAAACCTGATTCAGTTTTCTCCTCTCTGCTTCCCAGGTTGATCCTGCCTGATTACCTGAAACTCTGGAGAGTTTCTCTGCCAGTGATCTGTCTGCTCGTTCTCAGTAGGACTCTGGAGAGCAGCCTCAGTCAAGTACCTGCCTGCCCGCTCTCAGAAGATTACTGGAAGGAAAACTCAATCAGTGATCTGCCTGCACTCTGTAAGCTCTGCCTCGGCCTCTGCCCTCAGCCTGCCGACAACCTCTGGACCCTCAAGGTTCCCCCCTCTTCAGCTCTGCTCCATTTCCGAACAGGTACAGACCTGAACACTCACAACCAGCAAAAGACCTGGACCTCCACTAATCTCTCTGTCCTCCTCAGCAGTGAACCCACTCGTGACCAGTCAAGCCCCCTCTTGGATCTGAACATACTTTGTACATTTAATATTAATAAATCTTCTAACTTTTTCATCTGCCTCCGAGTGCTCTGCATGTGGGTTAGACACATTAATCCGAACATGACACTAGCCAGTGGTGAGAGTGTTTCAGCATTACATAGAGATGGCAATTTCGAAGCCCCCTGAACCAATGAGACACAATTGGCCAAAACTCAACATGTTTGATACATTTAAAGCAGTTTAGAATGGCAGGATCTGCTGGATGCAATCAAAACGATGATTCAGTAGGTATCCAAATATTAGCACTATTTCACGACTGAACTCATTTGTTCCATAATAATAATATTTATAATAGTTATATAATTACATAATAAAAAACGAATGTCTGACATGTGAAATTGCAATATGATAATCAGCCCTTCTGATGCATTACATCTATGAGACAGTGTGGTCCTGTCACTATGGTTCCAAATTCTAATCCATCCTGGTATCCGAAGTGTATATATATATATATATATATATATATATATATATATATATATATATATATATATATATATATATATATATATATATATATATATATATATACGTTTGGCAGACGGATTAACACGCAAACCTCTCAAATGACAGATTTTGACTTTGACTCCTCCCTGGTTCCTCTATTTCATATCCATATTTTTTTTTTGTGCTCATTTGTGTTCATTGGGACACATCCCAGCCTGTGCGGCCTAATATTTAATATTCATTTTTTACTTTTAATTATTTTGATAGTTTAAAATGATTAGAAACACATCTGCTGTCCAGTATTTCCCACACCTTCTCCACGATCCTCCTGTGGTTCTGACAGATGAAGATGATTGTATTAGTAGAGAAGCATCAACGACTGTTTGGATGTGCTATGTAAATAAATATGTTTTATAAATTAATCAGTGGATGATAGATATTATGATTAGATCTATGTAACTTTAGTTAACTATTCTGAATCAAACTCAACCTAAATATATAATTTCTTTCCCAGTCTTTAAATAAAATTGTAAATGAGAAAAACCCAAAGTTTGCGAGGCAACTCTGATGCATTAATATACTACAATGGTATTGAAAGGCCCAAATGATTGCACTCTACTGTGAAGCTCGATACAAAGTGTGACGTAAGGAAGCCTCGCTCGCAGTGGTAATAAATAATACAGGAATGTACTTGTTAGGATTATTCTTATTGATGATATGTTGCTTGTATATACCCTAGTAATACCTCTGTTGTGTCTGAGAACTAATGTTTTCCCATGTGATTTATCAAATTAAGACAGTTCCTAAATCAGGAAAAAGTCATCTTCATTATGTACATGGCAAAATTTGGGAATGGAATGAGAGCGGTGTCCTTGATCTAAGAATAAAGAGTAACAATTTGATCAGGGTGGAGCTATGGATGTCTCTCCTCATCTGCAAATGTGTATGATATATAGATGCAACTTAGCTGATCTGAGTAAGATTACATTTTCTATCAAAATCTGTTGTCATGTCTCCTGGTTATTTAATACATATACATTTTGAAGTGTTATTTAAAGAGTTTTTCCCCAAGTGATCTCTTTTCAGAAAAAGAACTGGATAGAGAAAGCTTCAAGGTGGAAACAGAGCTTCCCATAACACACTCATACCTGTCTAACTGAGAACGAGCCATTTTATTTTCCTTATTCAATAATAATCTTCCAGAGTTTTGTAGGGGTTTGGAAATACAGTTCTATGCTGACGACGGTGTTATCTATAAAAATACAAAAACATCTGAGGAAGCAGCCTGAATTCTTACAATAGCACTGATTGATACTCAGATGTGGCTAACCAAATCCTGTCTCCTTCTGAACACAGAAAACTGTCTGTATGATGTTCTCTAAAAAATACCTACAGATATCAGCCAATCTGACGTTGGTTTTTGGAGATCATGAATTACAACTAGAAGCAATATTTAATGACTGAGATCATTTTCTTTTTTTTATCTTTGCCTAATGTGAAATGATCTGAACCATTTCAGAGTCACTGTTTATTCATCATAGAAGGAGCAAAGGCTGTTAGCAGGAACACAACGTCTAAACGGACTCAGACCTGAAGAACAAGAACAAACAGGTCTGTCCTTGTTCTAAAACAGTTCACTGATAACAAGAAGTTTCCAGTTTGAGCTAAGGTTTGAACAGAGAGCAAAGGATCTTTGGTCCTCTGCAGAACCAGAAGCAATCATTATGAACACATTTAAAGCTGTTGACACCAACCTGAGCAGCAGAAGCAGAGATAAAGGAACCCTCTTTGTGAACAGAGAACCAATCAGAGTTCATGTCTCTTTCTCCTCACAGACAGAAAAAAACAAGGAAGAGTAAAGCTAGAATAAAATGTGATTTTACCTCTAATGTCTGGCAGAAAGCTGTTTTATTCCACCTGTTCTTCAGAGACAAAATTGCTCTGTTCGAAAACCTAAGACGCTACCTTAGAAGGCCAGATTCGAAGGACAGTGACGTCATAGCGCGGCGCCGAGGTCTGGTCGGATTCCAAGAGTCCTTGTCATGCGGCCTTAAAATGCATCCTTCTTTTTGCCCGATTTGAAGGACGGGTCCGATGTATCCTCGCTATCCTTGGTTTACCCAGGATTCATTGCAAGTCCAAGCAAGCCGGGATTTGCTTCATCATCAGAGGAAATTTTACTTGGCGCCGAACAGTGGTGAAAATTGGAAGTTCAGTTTTATATAATACAAGTCTGTGAATAGTTCCATCTGAAATGAATGAAAATAGTTGTTTTAATGGTTATTGAGTCAGATATGTGGCGGTAATGTTTGATTTATCTAAAGCTTTTTATCTGTTACTGTGTAAATGGGTTTGGCTGGAATTTAAGGACAGATTCTAATATATCTGCAGTGTGGGGACTATATTTATTTATTGCTGTTTTGCACAACATACTTAACTAAGTATTTTTTGTTGTTGAATATTAGAGATTTTGCAGATATATTTTTATACATACATTGTTTAGATTTACTTATATCTTTCTACCCCTTTTATAGAATAGAAAATCCCTTTATTGTCCCACAATGGGCAAATTTACAGCAGCAGAAAGATTATTGAAAATGGTCACACAAATGTGGACCTTAGAAAAATGTATAAGACTAAAATAATAGGGAAGAGTTAAAATATAAAAAATACAATTCTGTAAATGTGCAGCTATGGATATTTTTACAGTAATGGATATTTGAAAATGTGCAAAATGACAGCAGCAGGTTATTTAACTGACTTAGGTTTTTATCATTACATTTGATTTTATTTGTTCCTGCTCCCGCTGGTTGGAACATTTATTCCACTCTGGATTCTTGTGAGTGTAGTCTTTGTTCACTTTAACTTTTAAAAAAAATAAATAAGTAAACAAACAGTTTTGAAAACTTCAGTATTCATTCTTTTCCTGCTTTGTGTGTCAACTTTCACGGTTGCTAAGCAACAGAGCATACGGCGGTAAAACCCGCCGAAGGGTAGACCTGGTCGAATTCCCAGCCTAAACTCTTCCGGTCTCCTTATTTTCAAGGATCTCAAAGGATCCAATCTAGGTAGACCGCGTCCTTGGAGGATGCGTCCTAGGTTTTCAAACAGAGCCTCTGATTAAGAACAGGGCTGCCCGCACTCACGCGGCTCAGGGATTACATCACACGGAGCGTCATGCGCAGTGAAATCAGGAATTTTCCTCACTTTCTAAAAAAAACCCGGGAAGCCCGGGACAAGACGTGAAATACGGATATGTCCCGGGAAATACGGACGTTTGGTCACCCTATTACTGCGTTATTTTATAGTCTCGGGATCAGCTAGAGACTTAAAAGCTGCAGTGAAGTATTTTCTTCCTGTGTTAGAGCGAGGGAGACAGGAAGGAAACATGCTGAGGGCGTGTTTGTGTTTACCAACACTAGTCATCATGGCGGCTGATGGAGAGCCAAAGTGGAGTTTCTTCACTTGGAGATATTCTCATTAATTTACAATTTGTGCCTTGGATCAAAGATTCTATCTACAGCCCAGAACAGCAACTGTAATCTGTTGAAACACCTACAAAAGCAACATGCTGCGATGAAGCTAGAAGCTACCGGTGTCGTGCCAAGGTAGTTATCCCTGGGAAAATTTGTATCCCCTCATCGGGAGCGTGCACGGAGTAGGAAGATCAACCCGACTTAACTCCGCCTCAATTCTAACGTGCAGAACTTGAAATTTGAAAGGTTTTACATGAATGAAAGTTGAGCTTTACTGTTTTATTCTTTACTTCACGTTATAGCAGAATATCGCCAGTGATATTGATTTAAAACTAATAATAAAACACAAACGTTTGCTTCAAAGCTGGTCGCTGACAGCAGTGTCTACTCCTCCCTCTGAAAGCAAACAGATCCTTGTTCTTTTCCACACGTTCCTTCAAAAAATCTCTCATTGTTTCACAGTGTCCTAATGTTCTCATCCCATTGAAAACTGTTGTAAACCATATACTTGTAATAAAAATAAAATAGAAAATGGAGTGCACGTGTAATCATTAAAGACTATATGCAGAAGGAAATAATTTTTTCCTGGTTGAAATTTAGTACTTAAATCTATATTTGTGTTTATAGTAACTTACAATTTATCACTGTTGTACTGTCCTTAATAAACAGTTTGTGTTCTAACATCAGCCGTTTTATTTCATCCCATATTGTCAGAACTGGCAATATGGGAGGAAATAAAACCTGCTGTAATCTGTTCCCCCTGTCTAAATCAGGCAAAAAAGGCCCCAGCTTTTTCATTTTTGGCTTATAAGCATCTTTTATGATGAAAACTCATTCCTGAAACTTTGGAGTTGATTGACCTTTGTTTCTTAAAGTTACAAGGGGGGAACAAATTATAGCAGGCCACCTGCTGTAAAGGGCAATTTTGCAGGCAACTACCTACTATGTAGTATTGTCAGTTTGTTCTGCCCTGAAATAATTGGCACTTTGAAACATATCTTTGTTGCTTGTATATAGAATTGCTTAGCAGAGTTTCATGATGCAAATGCATGTCAAATTCTTCAACAGATGGTA